CCGCACACTGGGTACATGTGTGTCCATGCCCAAAATCACAAGAGAAGAATGGAGAAGGGACTGCAGCATGGCCAGCCTCCTCAGGGGGTGATTTCTTGCTGTCTCTCTGTCTGTCTCTTCAGCGAGTGCACACACCCTATAGCAAAAATTCTTAAAAAAAAAAAAAAATCAAAACAAAAGTCTTTCCAGATTTAAACATTATCATCTCTATATACTCATGGAAGGAGAGTGGAAAAGGAGGGACTATGGCATCATCATCTTTCCTGGGGATAATTTTTCAACTACCTTCTTGCTCTCTCTGGTGAAGACACATGCCCAATGTCAAAACTTTTTCTAAAATAATTTAATTATTTTATTTGTCATTATTTTCCAATTTGCTACAGAGCATGAGCACTCACCAGAGAGAGACAGAGTGAGAGCAAGGGAAAGTGAGAAAGAAGGGACTGCAGCATGGCCAGCCTCCTCAGGGGGTGATTTCTTGCTGTCTCTCTGTCTGTCTCTTCAGCGAGTGCACACACCCTATAGCAAAAATTCTTAAAAAAAAAAAAATCAAAACAAAAGTCTTTCCAGATTTAAACATTATCATCTCTATATACTCATGGAAGGAGAGTGGAAAAGGAGGGACTATGGCATCATCATCTTTCCTGGGGATAATTTTTCAACTACCTTCTTGCTCTCTCTGGTGAAGACACATGCCCAATGTCAAAACTTTTTCTAAAATAATTTAATTATTTTATTTGTCATTATTTTCCAATTTGCTACAGAGCATGAGCACTCACCAGAGAGAGACAGAGTGAGAGCAAGGGAAAGTGAGAAAGTAAGCTGCCAAGTCTGCAACTCAAACCGTCAGCACTTTAACCACGAGGCTACCTGCTGGTCCCCAATGTCAAAACTTAAAAGGTCAGCACACCTGCAGTGCAATGGGTGAGCCTCACCCTGGGAAAACCACCTTCGTGATCAGAAACACTGAGATCCTCAGGACCAGCAGATGGCGTAATGGCTACATCACTGGACTCACATGTAGTCGACCACAGTTCGAGTCCTGGATGCGATGGCTTAAACTCACGCCGGGAGCATGCATGCCCAAGATCCAGAGAGAATGGAAGAGAAGAGATTATGGCATGGCCATCCCCCTGGGGGGTGAGTTCTTTGTGTCTCTGTCTTGCTGGCTAGCGCATGTGCGCTATAGGACACCCCTCCCCCCAAAAGAAGAAACACTGAGATCCTAATGTCTGATTCAAAGTAAATGAATAGGGACCAGCAGATGGCATAATGGTTATGTCGCTGGAATCCCATGTAGTCAACTGCAGTCTGAATCCCAGATCTAACGACTTAAAACTCACAACAAGGCGCATGTGTATGCGTACCCAAGATCCCGAGAGGAGAATGGAGAAGGGACTGCAGTGCTGTCACTCTTCCCCACCGGGGGTTATTTCTTGCTTTCTGTCTCCCTGTCTCCGGGAGAGTACAAGGGTCATAGAGCAAAAATCTCTCTTAAAAAAAAAAGAAAGAAAGAAAGAAAGCAGATGAATAGACTTAACGCTGGGTGAAATAAGCCAGCCTTAGAAAGAAATGCACATGCCTTTTGGTCAGAACCGCCAGCTTCCAGTAATTAAACAAAATGATGTACACAAAAGGAAAGTGGAGAGGCACCTGATAGATGTTCTCCAACCCTTTTAGAAAACATGGAGCAGTTCCTTTGGCAACATTCACGGGAATGTACAAGAAAAGTGATATTGTACACATCAAGGGAATGGGTACTGTTCAAAAAGGAATACCCCACAATGTTACTATGGCAGAACTGGAAGAGTCTGCGATCTTACCCAGCATGCTGTTGGCACTGTTATAAACAAGCATGTTAAGGGCAAGATTCTTGTCAAGATAATTAATGTGCATATTGAGCAGATTAAGCATTTTAAGAGCAGAGATAGTTTCCTAAAATGTGTTTAAGAAAATAATCAGAAAAAGAAGGAAGCCAAAGAGAAAGGTACCTGAGTTCAACTGAAGCACCAGCCTGCTCCACCCAGAGAAGCACATATTGTGAGAACCAATGGAAAGGAGCCTGAGCTTCTGGAACCTATTTCCCTATGAATTCATGGCATGATGGGTGTTAAAAATAAACAAATCTATGGTCTATTAAAAATGAAAAGAAAGAAAAGAAGCGCTACATCAAACTTGTACCAAACAATTACACTTTAGGTCAGAATTTGAGAGATGTGATATAGGAAAGTAAGGAGGATAAATGTAGATGCCAAAGACTGTAAGGAAAGAAAACAGATGGCAGAAAATTTATGGTAGAGGCTGGGTGTGAAGTGCAAATGGAAGAAACGTTTTAACAGAAAAAAATAATAAAAGTCTCTGTTGAAAAAATATACAGAGTATATATTATAATGAAGACTTTACATAAAATGTGTTCTTAACCGGGGGGGGGGGGGACCCCCCCACAGCAACAAAAGACCACCACCAAAAAAGCACAAATAATCTTTTGTTGGGTTGGCCCACTGCATAGCGGTTAAGGGAGTCAGATCCCACATGACCAACCATAGTTAAAATCCCAGCCCCAGGAAAAGAAACAAACAAACAAATATCCCAGCACAAATGACTTGAAAAAATGCCATCTGTTTGTGTATATGGGCCTAAAATCCCACCAAGATGCAGAAATGGAAGAAAAAAGATTGTTGTATGACCATACCCCAAAAAGGGTGTTTTCTGCTTCTCCACCGCTCTCTCACCCTGGTGAGTGCATGTACCCTCTAGCAAGGCTGGCTCAAAACAAAAAGAGAAAAAAAACCTTACAAATAATTTTTTGTTTATAAAGCATCATCATCCTTACAATATAAATAAAACTAATTTTAAAGTTGAATAAAAATCTTGTTATATGGTTAAATTTTTCTAACTCTTAATGCTCTTCAAATGTTTTAAATCAACTGTTGTCAGTCAAAGGGAGTCTAAAAGTTGTCACTTTTAAAGGGATGTACACAATAAATTCTTCCAGACTTTACCAAAAAATATATTATTTTATATTGTGAGACTCCTCTTCCAATGAAACATGTTTCATGAAAACCTTTTGAGAAAGAACTAAGTTCTTAGAAGCAATTTTGGAAAAACATATGCCATGTGGTCTCCTTGCTAAAAGAAAAAACATAAAAAGAAATCAGAGGAATCATGGGGCCGGCAGTGGCACGGTGGTTAAGGGTGTTGGACTCCCACAAGGTCAACCACGGTTCAAGTCTCGGACTTGGTGGCTTGCTTTCTCACTTTCCCTCTCTTGCTCTCTCATTCTGTCCCTCTGTGGTCAAATTAAAATAAAGTTGAATAAAATAATTCTTAAAAAAAAAAAAAAAAAGAAACTAGAGGAATCAGATCTGGCAAGAGAGGGACCAGCAGATGGCATAATGGTTACATTGTAGACATTAACATAGTTGACTGCAGTTTGAATGCTGGACCTGGCAACTTAAAACTCATGCTGGACATGGGTGTTTGAGCGCCCAAACTTCCAAGAGGAAAATGGCGAAGGGATTGTGGCATGGCCATCCTGTCTAGGGGGATGATTTCTCATTTTTTTGTCTCTCTCTCAAGTACACTCACTCTATAGCAAAAAAAAAAAAAGTGCTTGAGACCTATCAGTCTTCTACAACAAATCATTCCCAAGATTCGTAATTTACTTCAAACATGTTTTAAGCACAAAACTTAACTAGTCTGGAATCAAACTAGTCAAGTTCAAATCTTGGTTCTCTTGTTTACTACGCATGTTTGCTTGAACATGTCCCAGTGTTTTTTTTTAACCTATAAAACAGACAAAACAACTGCATTTATTTAACAGAGTCATAAAAATTACCTTAAAAAAAATGTATCACTCTTAAGAATGATTTTGAGATATTAAATGCTCAATAAATGGTGTATCACCCTTAGGACTGATTTTGAGATATTAAATGCTCAATAAATGGTAGCTGTTGTCTCTTGTAAATTTAAACTCATGCAGATCATTTCAAAAGTCAATTTCCATTTTTTTTTTAATTTTACTTTATTTCAAATGAGGAAGGAGAAAAGAAAAAGAAGAGGTACTTTCAACATTTTCTCTTAATAACATGATTCGTTCCCAGCCTTCCAGTCAGCAAGAATCACGAGGGCACTACCATGGGCACAGTGAGTATGTCCAGGTCTCACCTTGGAGTTTCCCATATGGCTGCAACATTGTGCAACAGAGCATGACCACCTGTGCCACTATAACTGGGCTCAACAGCTCAAAAAATCCTTAATAACACGCATCCCTACATTTATTCCCAAATTATCTAACAATATTTGTGTTAACAGAGAACTCTATTTTCGAAAATATTACCCATTTTACACAATGACTGGAATTTAGACAATGGATTTTATGTCAGAGATTGCTATTCTAATTATTTTCTATATTATCTTTATTCAAAAAGCAATCTGGGGACCAGCAGTTAACATAATGGCTGTCGCTGGACACCCACGTAGTTGACCGTGGTTCGAGTCCTGGACCCGGTGGCTTAAACTCACGCCAGGCGCGTGTGCGTGCATGCCCATATCCCTGGGGGGTGATTTCTCACTTTCTGTCTCTGTCTCTCTCTGAATGCCTGGCGAGCGCACACGCCCTATAGCGAAAATCTCTCCAAAAAAAAAAAAAGAATTATTTATTAGTATATATGTTTTTCCACATGAGTTTTGCCAGAGAAAGACAGAAAGAGAGAGAATGAGAAAGCAACCTGCCAGGTCTGGGACTCAAACCATGGTCGGTCATGTGGGAATTACAACACCTCAATTACCATGCCATCTGCGGTCCCTCAATAAATAATTCCTTAAAAAAAAAAAAAAAGTCCTCTTGAATCCATTATCAACCTTAAGGTCAAAGTGTATTTGTGAACTGTAAATTAAAGTGATAGTATATTTTGTCAAAAAAAGAAAAGCACTGCAGTAACTCTTTAAGAACTACTGGGAATTTAAAAAATAAATTACAGCTATGATATTTATCTTACCGATTTTTTTGGAATGGTCGACTCATACTCATAGCAGCAGCATTTGTTTTATAAGATCCTGGTGAATTAAAGCCATTCATAAAACTACCATTGGGAAAGGGAGCCTAGAAAAAAATTTGAATTTTAAACAATATTAATGTTAAAGGCAAAATCTGGTATAAAAATCACAAATAACCTTAATGGGCTAGTCTGGGATGAATTTCCTTTACAAGTCAAAAACAACTGAAAATATTTTACTTACTCACTTCTGCAGTATTCACTTCCAGTACACTTGGCTTTATGAAAACTTCATTACTTAATGAAGAACATTCCTTTCTGACAAAATCTCACAACAGTGAAAGGGAATTAAAATGATCCAATCTTGGGGCCAGCAGGTGTCATAGTAGTTAAAATGTTGGACTCCCACATGGCCGGCCATAGTTCAAGTCCCAGACCTGGCACCTTGAAACTTATGGTGGATGCAAGTGCATGCACACCCAAAATTCTGATAGGATTGCATTGTAGCCATCCCCTCTGTGGGGTGATTTCTCACTTTCAGTCTCTCTGTCTCTCTGGTGAACACATGTGCTGTATAGCAAAAGTCTCTAAAAATAATAATAGTCAATCTCTTCTTTCAATGCACTCAGGAAATTTTATAGAATAAAACTATAGGAACCAACAGCTCAAGCATTATTAGTCTTATATCAGGTATAGAGAAAAAAAAATCCATACCACCTTGTAAAAGATAGAAAGTAAACAATATGACCACATGCACACAAAAACGAACTCCTATTTCAGCTGACTTCTAATTTCAGCTTAAACTTAAAATTGTATCATTGTGGGCCAGCAAGTGGTATAGAATTTAAGGTAGCTGAATCTTACATGGCCAACTGAATAGTTTATGTCCCTGATCCGGCAGCTTAAAAATCACTTGAGACATTTATGTGTGAGTACCCAAAATTCCAAGAGAATGGATGGAAGGGATAGCATCATGACCATCCCCCTTGAGGGGTGACTTCTTATTTCCTCTAGCTCTCTGGTGAGTATACCCTTTGTATAACAATATAAAAATAAATAACTATACTATTTTACATTTTATTATTGGATAAGGGTCTCACTTACCAGTGGTGTTTCAAAGTAAGGTGCAGGATTTGGAGACCAAGACTGAGGCACAATACTATAGACTGAGTACTGTTGGTGAGGATTATATACAGGCTGCATAAAGACTGGCGAGGCATACTGTGCTTGAGTTTGAATGGGCTGACTGTACATACTAGAATCCATTAATCGATAACCATTCTTAGCAAAAAAGGTATTGATGGCTTTTATCCTTGCCTAGAAGTAAAAGGAACATGTTATAGTAACAAAGGACTAATCATATTTTCACAAAAATGTTAACATATTCTACATGGCTGCATTATTTCTGCCTATTGTACAAGCAGTAGAGCAAAAGAAAGAAAATGGTAGTTTCAGTTAATAAGAAAGAACATAAAATTTAAACCAGTAAAATGACAACACATCACAGACATAGTGCTAATATTACCTAACTTATAAACTGCAAAAGTATACACAAAAATGGCACAAAAATACTATAGAAAAATGATTTAGAAAGCAGAGAAAAGGGAATCCTTCCATATTTCTGGTAGGAAAAGAAATGAATATAGCCATTATGGAAAACAGATAAGAGATACCTCAAAAATTAAGAACTTCAACTACCACGTGACCCAGCAATCTGGATCTACTACTAGGTATATAATCAAGGAAAATGAAATCAGTATGCCAAAGAGGTATGTGTACTTGGGAGTCCATTAAACATTATTCACAACTGCCAAGATAAGGAATTAACCTAAGTACCCATTAATAGTTGAATGGAAAAATAAAATGTGGTGATAAACATAAACACACACACACCCCCATAATATTAGTCAACCTTCATAAAGATAGAGTGTCTAGCATTTGTGAAAACACAGATGAACCTGGAGGATATTGAGCTGAGAGAAATAAATCAGAACTATATGGTTTTCATGTATGGATGAAGATATAAGTCTTTTGTACAACTTTTTTTTTTTTTTAAGAGAGATTTTTGCTATAGGGTGCATGCACTAGCTCCAGAGACAGAAAGTTAGAAATCACACGCCCCCCTAGGAGGAATGGACACACCATAATCCCTTCTCCTCCATTCTCTTCTCAAGGTTTTGGGCATGCACTCATACGTGCACAACATGAGTTTTAAACCGCTGGGTCTGGGACTATAACCGCGGTCGACTACAATGGAGTCCAGCAACATAACTATTACGCCATCTGCTGGTCCCTATGTAGAATTCTTAATAAAGTTAAATATCCAGGCCAGTGAGTGGCATGATGGTTGGGATGCTGGATTCTCACATGTCAGACTACAGGGTGATTCTCAGACTGCAGAGCTTGCTTTGTTCACTGCCCCCCCTCTTCTGGTGAGCAAATGTACCCTATAGCAAATTTAAAAATAACAGCAATAATGATGATGATAAAAAAATTTTTTTTTTTTTGAGAGGTTTTTGCTATAGGGAGCGTGCGCTCGCCAGACAGAGACAGAAAGAGAGACAGAAAGCGAGAAATCATCTCCCAGGGGCATGGCCACACCACAATCTGTTCTCATCCATTCTCCCCTTGGGATCTTGGGCACACACGCACATGCGCCCAGCGTGAGTTTTAAGTCACCGGGTTCGGGACGCGAACTGCGGTCGACTACATGGGATTCTAGCAACATAGCCATTACGCTAACTGCTGGTCCCAAAAAATGGTTTTTAAAGTTGAACTTCCTGTAACAGAGGATGATGGTGGTTGCCAGAGGCTGAGCACAGGGGACTGAGAGGGAATAAAAAGATATAGGTCAAAAGGTACTAAGTTTTGGGGCTGGCAGGTGGCATGGTGGTTAAAGCACTGGACTCCCAGAGTAGACCACAGTTTTAAGTCCTGAGCCTGGCGGCTTATTTTTTTCTCTCATCAAATTATAAAATAATAACAAATAAAATTAAATAAATAAAAATAAAATGTACTAAGTTTAGGGCACAGTTGGTGGCACAGTAGTTAAGGCAGCTGGATCTCATGTGGCCAACTGCGTAGTTTGAGTCTCAGACTCCAAGGCCAGAAAACACGCAAGGCATTTGTGCCCCAAATCCACAGGGGAAAATGGAGAAGGGAGTGCAGCATGGCCATATCCCAAGAGGGTAATTTCTCCCTTTCTCTGCCTCCTCACTGTAAGTACAAACAACCTATATCAAATGAAAAAAAATTTAGTTAAAACAAATTAATAACTCTAGAGATCTAAAGCACACCATGGTAACAAGTTTTAATAATAATGTATCATTTACACTAAAACTGCTAAGGAAAAAACTGTTCTTTTTCAGTACGTCTGAAATGGGGACCAGCAGTTAGTGTAATGGCTATGTCACTGGATTCCCATGTAGTTGACTCTGGATTGAGTCCCAGATCTAGAGGTTTAAATTCACATCTGGTGCATATGTAAGTCTGCCCACGATCCTGAGAGGAGAATGGAGGAGAAGGGAATGTGGTGTGGCCTTTCCCCCTGGGAGGAGATTTCTCACTTTCTGTCTCTCTCTGTCTTTCTGGCAAGTGCACGCACCCTATAGTAAAAACCTCTAGGTGGGGAAAAAAAAGTCTGAAATATCTAAGTTTAAAAGACCCTCCCTTGGGACCAGCAGTTAGCGTAATGGCTATGTCGCTGGACTCCCACGTAGTCAACCGCGGTTCGAGTCCCGGACCTGGTGGCTTAAACTCACGCCGGGCGCATGTGCGTGCGTGCCCAAGATCCTGAGAGGAGAATGGAGGAGAGGGGATTGCGGCGTGGCCATCCCCCCTGGGGGGTGATTTCCTGCTTTCTATCTCTCTGTCTCTCTCTGTCTGTCTGGCGAGCGCACGCGCCCTATAGCAAAAACCTCTCAAAAAAAAAAAAAAAAAAAAAGACCCTCCCTTAACCAGCAGTTAGCATAATGGCTATGTCTCTGGACTCCCACGTAGTCGACCGTGGTTTGCGTCCCAGACCCAGTGGCTTAAAACTCAAGCCTTGCGCGTGTGCGTTCATGCCCAAGATCCCAGAGGAGAATGGATTGCGGCATGACCATCCCCTCCGGGGGGTGATTTCTTGCTTTCTGTCTCTATGTCTCTCTCTGTCTGTCTGGTGAGCACACGTGCCGTATAGCAAAAAAACCTCTCAAAAAAAAAAAAAAAAAAAAAAGACCCTCCCTTACAACAACCATACCCAGAGGATACAACCTAATAGTTCATCTATGATTAAATACAGAATGCTACACCCACACAATTGACTATCTTGTGGATCTAAAAAGAATGGAGGGGGACCAGCAGTTGGCGTAATGGCTATGCCGCTGGACTCCCATTTAGTCGACCATGGTTCAAGTCCCAGACCCAGTGGCTTAAACTTATGCCGGATGCGTGTGTGTGCGTGCCCAAGATCCTGAGAGGAGAAGGGACTACGGTGTGGCCATCCCTCCTGTGGGAGGGATTTCTCACTTTCTGTCTCTCTGCCTCTGTCTTTCTGGTGAGCGCATGCACCCTATAGCAAAAATTTCTCCCCCCTAAAAAAAAGAATGGAGGAACTGCTATAAATACTATTAAGAAGTGATTTCCAGAATAGTGTTGTTAAAAAATAAAGCAACACAGGGGCCAGCAGTTGGCGTAATGGCTATGTCACTGGACTCCCATCCATGTGGTCAATTGCAGTTTGAGTCCTGGACCCAGTGGCTTAAACTCATGCCATGTACGTGTACGTGCATGCCCAAGATCACGAGGAGAGAGGAGGAAAAGGGATTGTGGTGTGGCCATCCCCCCTAAGCGGTGATTTCTCACTTTCTGTCTCTGTCTTTCTGGAGAGTATACGCACCCTGGAGCAAAAACCTCTCAAAAAGAAGAAAAAAGAAAAGAAAAAACGAAGGAAAACAAAAGAAAACATAAAAACAGGCATGGCAAAGCAGAAAAAAAAAGTATGACTAGTAAGCTATTATTTATCTAAGTAAGATGGGAATATGATGACAGCCTTTCATATACACATATAAATGTATAATTATGTAATGTACTGAGTTTTAACTATCTTGCTTTTAAACCAGGCACAGATTTAAAATACATTTAACAAAAAATCAAATTGTTAAAGGTAAAACAAAGTAACCCAAACAAGGATTCAGTAAATAACAGCAGAGTGACTCTGATTCATAAGGAGATCAAACTTTTTTTTTAAATAAGAGATTTTTGCTATGGGGCATGTGCATTTGCTGGTGAGACAGAGAGAAGCAGCGAGAAATCACCCCCCAATAGGAATGGCCACACTGCTATGCCTTCTCCTCCATTCTCCTCTCAGGATTATGGGTACGCATGTAAAACCTGCCCAGCGTGGGAGGGTATTAAGCCACCAGGTCTGGGACTCTAACCACACTCATGTGGGATCCCAGTGCTTTAATCACTACACCACCTCCTGGCCCTAAATCTCAACTGTTATATATGTTCCTTAGCTATAAACCAGAAGACAAAAAGTAAGGCATGCATGCACATGCATGCACGTGCACACACACACACACAAATGAATTGCTTTCAAAACTACAGTGCCATTAGTAGTGTTGTGCCAATATTTTTGTGTGTAATTATGAGATAAAATAAATCAGTAATCTTATTCATTGTCATTATTTTTATTTTATTTTTTTGAAGTTGACCAGAGAGAGAGAGAGAAAGCAAGCAGCCGAGTCCTGGACTTGAACAGTGGTCAGCCATCCGGTTACCTCAACCACCATGCCACCTGCCGTCTCCAAGCAAATCAGTAATTATACTAATGTCTCTGAGACCCAAGATTTTCATGAGGAAAAATGAGACACTGATGTGAGACTTAAGAAATAAAAATCACTCTTTGCCACTATACAAGATGGCAGGTAAAAAAGCTACGAAGCAAGATACTGAGAAAAAACCTGAATCCAAGAAAGCTGATGCTAGTGACAAGGTTAAAAGAGGTGATCCCAGGGATCAGCAGTTAGTGTAATGGCTATGTCGCTGGACTCCCATGTAGTCAACCATGGTTTGAGTCCCAGACCCAGTGGCTTAAAATCACGCCGGGCGCGTGTGCGTGTGTGCCCAAGATCCCAAGAGGAGAATAGAGGAGACGGGATTGTGGCGTGGCCATGCCCCTGGGGGGTGATTTCTCGCTTTCTGTCTCTCTCTTCCATCCCCCCCTATCAAAAACCCCCCCCCCAAAAAAAAAAAAAAAAAAAGAAAAAAGAAAAGAGAAAAGAAAGGTGACTACAAGGCTAAAAATAGTCCAAGAAAAGGAAGCCCCATTG